CAGGTGGCATATGGAAGTAACATTCCCTCTCTATGTGCATGCGCAGTTTGAGGTTGTTGCATTCATTCAGTATATTTTGAAAAGCAAAAATATGGAGACGTGTTCTAGTGCTAAGTCAACGTGAGTTAAACAACATGCTGTTATCGAATTTTTAACTGCTGAAAATTACTCCTACTGAGATTCATCGTTGTTTAAAGGCTGTTTATGGTGACAACACTGTTGATAGGTCTACTGTAAATCGATGAATAATAAAATTTCGTGGTTGCAAGCCTGGAAAAGCCATAATTGTGATGAAACATGCAGCGGACATCCAATCACTGCCACAGACGATTACCATTGCCCCTTGTTGCAATGTTTAATTCTTCTCAGTACATAAAGACTTTAAAACACCTCCGACGTTGAGTTTGTCATGTTAGAGGCAGCCTGGCACCAATAATCTTGCAACATGACAACGCTTGTCCACACACCTTGCACGCAACTTGAGAGGCTCTGCGAAACCTGAAGTTTGAACCAATTCCACACCCTCCTTATTCCCCAATTGTGCGCCTTGCAATTTTTATTTTTTTCCTCTACTCAAGAGAGACCTCAAGGGTGCTCATTACACCTCGGACAATGAAATGAAGGCAGCTGTCAAGTCCTGGATTCGAGAAAAGTCGGAAGAATTTTTCAGTGACGGAATGAAAAAACTTGTTACACGTTGGGAGAAATGTGTTAGCCTTAACAGTGACTATGTTGAAAAATAAATATATGATTTTGAAGCTTAAGAATTGTACTTTAATGAACTTTTTGCCCGATCTTGCTATTTGTTTTTGTTTGTGTTCTACAAGCATGTGTGCATTACTTTTTAGCCTACCCTTGTAGCTCTCAACACCCCTGCTTGCAATGTTTACTTTTATCAACAAAAGACTTTGATAAAAAAAAGTTGCAACAAAATTGAGTGGAATTTTACAGCATCTTCACAAGATATCATAAAAATCCACTCCATAGTTTACCATCCCACCAATTAAACATTCCTTATTTTAAAAAAAATGATTAAATATGCCTGGTATTTTCTTTTCTACTAATTTTCCAGCATATTTTTTTCAAATCAGAAAACAATGTCATTGACAATGACTGTAAAGTAAAAGTGTTAGGGTGCGACTATGCAGACGCGAATTTAGAGCGAGCGAGAGGTTGCGAGCAATTTAGTTTTCGCAAAGGAAAACCATGCACAAACGAGAAGCGAGAAATAACGCTGGTGAGAGCGAATTTCTGGTTCTCGCACATATCTGACAGGTTTTGATATTTATCGCGTCTCGCCTCTTCTCGCCACATATTCTCGCTCGCTCGGAAAATTTGCTCGCTCGCATCTGCATAGTCGCACCCTTACTGAAGATTTCCTTCATAAAAAGTGCCTGGTGTCATTGTGTTTTTGCTCTCTTTCATTCAGATTCATTTTCCAGTCCTCGCACCCTCTCCTTGAAAGATGAACATTTAAGGTATTAAGAGTAACTTTTTATCTGACTGAATGATTTAATTTAAATTGACTCTAATCATTGTGCTAACACTTATTGGAACGACAAAGCTTTTAACTGTTATCATCTGTTTTTTCAGTTGGTTACTATTAACTAAAATCAATTAAACAAAATGATCACCTTTTTAAATATTCCAGCAAATAATTTAATATCGTAAAAACGTTTTCGATCATCTTTAACGATCTTCATCAGTTAAATAATAAAGTAAAAAGAACATTAAAGAAATAGAACTTAAATTAAAATTACGAAAAAATAACAACTACGCATGCGTTTGTAATAATGTGCGCTTAAGGGAATGAATACAAAAAGATAGGAATATAAGAATATAAAAAAAAAAAAATAAAAAATAAAAATAAAAAGCTCGACAGAATCTAATCTAATCTAAATCTTAACTAAAATCAAATTATCATTAAGTTACTAATCATAAGTGAAGCTCTAATTACAATAAAGTTTTGTAATATTATTTAATTTGTTTTGGAACATGTTGATTCTGATAATATTACACTACTGATAACAATATCCTCAATTATAAAAAAGCAAGCACCTATTGTGTATATAATTGATATTGACAAATTTAACAAATTTTTAATTTTAAAATCACTAATCATATAAACTAATTTTTAATTTTAAGATAAAAAAAATTATCTGATTAAACTATAACAATAAGAAGAAGAAGAAAACCATTGCACAACTACATAAAAAATCCTAAACAGTAAAATACAATAATTTAATCTACATGTACAGTACAATACAGTTATTTAAGAACTGATGATGAATAGTGAAGATTACAATAATAAAACAAATTCTGATGTACTTTCTTTTGTTAAAAATAACTTTTTAATCTTGTAAAAAGAATTTTATTTAAATGTTAAAAAAATCAATATTTATAAAAATACACACATTAGTTATTATAATTTTTTGACTTATAATAAAATGATAGATATATTACTACTCATAAAATGTATAAATTTAGATTATATTTGAAATCACAAATTAGTTGTTTCAAATTCTCTCAATTGTACTCTTCTACTCTTCTAGTTGTAAGCATTTTTATACATAAAATAATGTATTTTGTATATATTTGTATATAGCTCAACAAATGTACAGAATTTATACTGTTTTACACAAGACACAACCTTTAAAAAATTCTTTTAATTCAAAAAAATAATTTAGTCAGTCAGTTTTTATTTAGACTAACAATTTGCTCTACATAAAGATAGAAAAAAATTAAAGCTAAGTCTGACTATCACATTCTGTATGTTTAGTCAAACAAGTTACAGTAATCACAACATAATTCTTTTTGTTTACTTATGCATAGATACATATTTGAATACATTGTAATGTTTTAAATAATTTTAAAATAATTCAACAATTACTAGAGATGTTTTATATACATTTTGTGTCATCAAAAATCTATAAAATGAGATCAAAAGTAATTCATTTTGCTTAAACAAAGCAAATTGTATATTTTTAAAAATCTCTGATAAATACAAAAATATTTACCATTCAAAACATCACCTTCATGTCTAAATTTAAAATACATAGTGACATTTTCAAACATTCTCTTTGTTTAATAGAAAGGTCTTTCTATAAGAACAAAATCCAGTTGGCACTATCACTAGTTTTTTGACCCAGTATTACAGTAACTGGAAGAAGTTCACTCTCCTGACAAGATTTACTTTTTTTTCTTTTGGCAATAAGCCAAATGTAATTAAAATGTCTAATGGAAGGTGGATATGTAAAATTTGATGTTTTGTTCATTTCTGTTAACAATTTTAAAATGAATTCTGTAACAATTTTAGTATCAGTAAAATGTAAGTTCAATCAAAAATTAGAATAATAATCATTATTCAACATTAAAATTATTTTATAATTAAATCCTTAACATTAAGCCATTTTCAAAATCATTATTGTTTGACTAAAATAGTTTTTTAATTTTATTAAATATTTGCATTAAGAACTGAAATTTATGCAAAACTTTTTTTCAAAGTCCATTAACATAAATATTTATTGATTTAACTTTTAATATTCATTTCTATGTCATCTTAGTTTCATGGAAAATGCTACAAGTACATTAAAATTTTTATATTAAGCCTATCATTTATGAACTTTTAGATAATTGTTAGTACTGTTTTTATCAGATATTTTCTTATCAATTTATTATATAACACATTTATTAAAAAAAGAATAATAAAACATTTATAATTATTTGCTTTTTATGTCTGTGGTTATATATAATTACAATAACTTCATCATTTTCTTTCTTAAAATATCACACAAATATGCTTTTTATGCAATTTTATCTTATTATTTTTGTCATCAACTAAATATTCTAATATTCAACCAACCAGTTATCACTTTAAAAAAATCTGTAAATTAAGACTGTCATTACACTACATTATTATAATGCCTCCTATAACAATAAATTTTATGAAATATTAGATAATATTTTCTAACGTTAACATTTTATTGATGAAAATAAAATTTACTCGATATTCTGTTAAACGGTTAGAAAATATCGGTCCTAATCTAAGCATAAAAAAACTTATTTTTATGTTTTTATTAATCCTATTTGTTTTATTATTTAAACAAACATACATTACTGATTTAATTTAATAAAATAGATATGTGTTTAGAAATTTATATTAAAAAAAATTCTTAAATTATTCGAAAAGTTCATGTCAACGACATTAGAATTCTTGATAGATTTATTAAAACTTTCATAACAATTTAATGAAACTATTCAGTAAATTTATTCAATAAAATATAAATTTTTTGATTTCATAATTTACATTTGAATAATCTAATGAAAGTTAATATGAAATAAATGAGCAACATTTACAAATAAAAAAAACTAATTGAAATTATGAAAGTATTTAAATTAATAAAATATATATTTCCATTAATAACAATAATCCATAATGGTTTCTTTTTTTTTTTTTGTTATATAACTTACTATTAACAATAAATGTATTTTTGCCCAAGATATTTACAATTTATTTTTAGATTTTCCCACTTTATTGATGCTTATTTTTATGTCACCAAAGGCAAACATCCTTTCTTACTTACGTAAACACATCAGTCTTTCTTTAACTTATAATTTTAACTAATAAAATACTTTTCTGTACACAACAGAGATTGCACTAAAAGTATTTTTATCATAAGATGGAAACCTTATGATATTCTCAGACATTCAGAAATGTTACACATGCACATATTAACACTAAAAAACTATTCAATTTCAACTTATTTTCATCTGTATATAGACAATTATGGACACTAACACAAATGCTTCTCATTAGTATGTATTTTAACGTTCAACTTGTATTTATTATCTGAACAACAATGTATAAATTTATGTAAGTAGGTTAATAATTCAAAAATGTTTACCAAATAATACGAAATATTCATAGAAAACAAAGTATGTTACAGGTTAACGAATTAAAAGTGTAAACAACATTGGAAACATTTAATTTTGAATCTCACCAGGCTGCTGATTAACGGAATCCTGTGACATTCTTTGTTGCACAATCTGTTGTATCAGTAATACGTCGCCTTCCTTGATGCCATAAGTTTTTAGATCTTTCTTATCGTCCAACAGTGGTCTTCCCTCGTGCATGACGACGATTTCTTGACTTCCAATTCCGGACTCGTATTCACACAGAGCTTTTAAATCGACCAATTCCATGTCGTCACTAACATCCAAAGTGAAGATGTCATCCGACAATGTGGTTACCGTGACTTTCATCTTTCGCAATTTAACGGGCGTATATCACTGTTTAAAACTACTCTATGCGCGTTTCTGTTGACTCGTTTAAAATTGGTGGAAAATGTGATAAAATTACGTTCGGCTACACAATTCCTCTATTCTGTATTTAATCTCCAACATGCTTACCGTCATCCAACAGCGCCCACTAGCGGTAGAAACTTGATAAAAGCACTGCGTACTTCGTATATAAAATAGTAAACGATATAAATAACGCTTTTTATTTATAATGACAATTTATTAATATAAATTAATTTACAGATAAAATTTTCTTTTGGTAATGGAATTTATAATGTTCGATTTAATTTTTTAAAGTATTTTTATAAGGCAAGTAAACAAGCGGCAGGCTAACGATCTGGAGATCCGAACGGATCGATCACCGGGAATTTTTCATGAGACATGAGGTCTGTCCAGAATATGTTGGGTCTCATCTCTCATAATCCGGCAGCTCCCCATTTGGGTCTGGCTAAAGCCAAGATGAGCCAGGGGAAAAAGTGCCTCTTAGTGCCCACAGGGCAGAAAGCGTCAATAATAGAAAAAAATGTAATCAAACTAATCATATTTGTTTTACAATGTCATTGCTTTGCTTATTCTGAGATAGTAATATCTTTGAGTAGGCAAAGCAAACGGGAAGCATTCATTATTATTAATTAAAAATTTAATTGAATATTGTTTTATACTTTTTCATACAGCAAGTAATTTTTTTACTCTTTTTGCTTTGTGAGCACTCAGAAGATCTTTCACCATGTCCATGGATTCTGCCAAGCTTGCAATGAGTGATGAGGAGTGGGATTTGACATATCCGATACAGATCCTTCATAAAAGATTTCTAGATTGTTTATCCGAATTCGACCCCACATCACTCAGAGAGGTGGTCTGGCGCCTCAACTGTCATTGCCGTCATATTATAAATGACGGTTCAGGCGCCAGCCTACATTACGTAACCTGTTATCAGTTTCATCACGATTTAAGTCAGGTCCACAGCAGGATGGCTTGGTAATCAGAGACGGCGCCTGATATACTCGGACCAAATCACTCATTAATTAAATTCTCGAGGATTCGACCCGTATTAGAAACCGGCATCTGAAGGAGCAGGTTTCTAATACGGATCGAGTAAGGTCTTTAGTCTCCTTGGCCATTCGTTTGTCTTAATTATTTAACTAAAGGTAAAGCATTAAAAAGCTCTTTAGTCATCCTTAAACTAGAGATATAACTAAGTACATTATCTTGAAAAAAGAAAGTATAGTTTCTTTCAAATAGAAAGCGAAAAGCGTTCTTTCCGATTAACGCCTTGAATATGGAGCTATAATATTGGAGTGGCAGCCCCTGGAATCTAGTAAAGCCAGTATATGCAAGCACATGACAGAAGTCGCCATTTTGAGCGTGGAAGAAACGTAGTGAGTTCATTCCGTAAAGTTGCAATTCGACGAAGCATTTATGCTTTTTATTTATGTATTAAGCTTTGTGTATTATTCACCTCTCTGTGCATTAGAAAAGATTTAACATTAACAATAGGAAATAAGTTTTATAGTTAATAAGGAAATCGTTTAAACTTATTTTGCTTAACTGACACGGCACATTAATTGTTATTACCCAAATGAAACGTGCCGAGTAGTAGAACTATATGTTTACCGTAAATGTAAGTTTACATCTTTAGTTTTATTTGTTAAATATAGAAGAATGGTAAAAAGTGCTTCCAATAGAAATCATGACTTATCAAAACCCAAATTTTTAATTTAAATTGGCTTCAGTATGATTTCGGGCAAAAACATTTATACACCATAAGAGATTTTTTGATGTTAAATCTCATCGTATAGCTGAAAATTTTTCATTCTTGACAATTTACAATGCAACAAAAATTAACTTATCTCAGCCAAAAAATTAGATACTGTATTGCAAAAATTTTAAAAATTTTAGCAACGAGTTGCGTAATTTTCCCGGCCGTTGAGAGATTGTTTAAAAAATAACGCATATTTTTTATTTTAATGAATAAAATTATCTATGGTGCTATCTGTTATGAGATATTATTATAAAATTTTTTAATATTATTATAAAATGGTAAAACGCTTAATTTTGAGAGTAAAAATGAATTTTATTAAAAGAAAAAAAATGTTAATGCTAATAAAAAGTACCGGTAAAATTGTCATTAAGTCCGATTCATCTCTAGATATGACAAGTGACCTCTATCTCCCCACCCTCTCGACCTATAACCACCAAAATTTAATAGCATCAATCCCCCTTAAATAAAAGCTACTACCATGCTAAATTTCGTTTACTAATCATTAACCCATCCTGAAATATTATAAGAAATAGACGCCAACACACACGTGAGATTTGCAAAAAAAAAAAAAAAAAAAACACTGAGGGTAAGATTTGACATGATTCCAATACTTTCTCTTGTTATCTAAACATAACAACAGGGAAAGTAATCGGCACATTTAAAAAATATCCTTGAAAAGGAAAATTTCAAGGATATTTTTCAAACCGATACACAATAGTTCGGCTGAACCACATCAGATCAAAGATCTTCAGATTTTTAATAAGGTGTAGCTCGACATCCGTGTAACATAGAAACTTCCGGGTTAGATAATCAGATACAGCAAAAACTACTCCTAGTAGAAGCCCGACTGGAAGGTCAGAAAAATATTTTTTATTATAATTATGTTCCGAGTCAAAAAAAAAGTTCATAGAGATTGGCTAAGTAGAAATTGAGAAAAGAGAGATCGAAGATTTACCCAGAAGCGAGAGATATATGAATAAAATATACAGAAAATAAGACTGCATTGCCTATGATAAATAAACCCCTAACCGAATGTTAGATTTATTTATCATTATTTATACCAAATCAATTCTGGCTTCGCGTCAGACCAACGGATTGCCTGTTTGGAATAATTCAGGGTTTCTCCAATTGTCAAGCACGAAAAGAGGCATGCAAAAAATTCTGAGACGCATCGCTGTTGCGTTGCATTACTTTATTAAAGAAACTAAAAAACATTTTACAAAAACAAATTTAGATTATAAGTTAACATTTGTCAAGCATAAATGTTATGGCTCAGTAGCCACGTGGTATGGTATCAGTCTCATACATAAGATCCAGGTTTCAATTTCTTGCAAATCTTCATATAAGTGTGAAGTTTCGTTTGAGGGCAATATATTATTGCAGACAGGAAACATATAAAACGAGTAAAAATACAAAATTTTTTTATTCATCAAACACAGGTTCTTTAAAATGATTCCAACTTACAGACTATTGGGTTCGTATACATACAATAATCGTCTACACAAACAAGCCTCTATTGTGGCAACCGACACACGACTTATAGCTAAACTTAACCTACTTACAAACTAAGGAAGGAGAAATAAAATATAGATAGGGATAGTAGTAGAATAAAGGAGAAAATACCCGGGAGTTTTCTGCCACGTGGTCTCGGATGATTCACCGTCTTGAAATTCTTAATGACTGCAGACCTTATTTTCTTTCCTCTTATGAACGTCTACGTTTTCTGAAGTTGTCTTGTGGTCTTCCCGCTTGCCGTTACTTGAACATGGGGGAACTCGATTTCTTTAGCAATTGCCCTACGTTCCTCTATAATTCAGCCGTCTTACAAGGTTCCGATACCTCTGATCTCTCACTATGCGATCAGGGTATGATCCTCCTTCGGTTTTCTATCGCAAGGTTTCTTACTTCTTGCTCGACCCCTCGGTCAGGACCACACTCGTTTTCGTCCTCTCTCGACGAAATCGCAGCCACTTCTCCTTTCTTTCACCTCGCCTCCTCTCCAGGGGGTTATTGCTCCTTTTGTCTTCTTGACATTGTTTCACAGAATCGGTGATGTCACCCGAGGGAATAGGGATTAAGGGAGAAAGTTCTAGAACAGTTAAGACAAAAGAACAGAGGAGATACTAAGCCTGACTAAAATTAACAAAAATATATATAAAACTATGGCCGATGGCCACATAAGATTACTTCTTTGTGTCAATTAACCATGCCCATTTTTTAGTGATGAAATGTTTTATTAAGATGAATCATTAACAAAGATATGTTACCAGAATTAATTTACGAGTGTTTTTCTTAATTTACAAGTCTAGTTTTCCTGCCTATACATATAGTGTAGACCTATTAGAAATACTAAAGCGACAGTGATTAAAACTGCGTGTAGCGAACTCCGGCAGCTCGACGGGCATTTTTGCTCCTCTTGTGTCCTTTAGTGAAGTATATTCGACAAGCTGGGCGCTTTTGCCAAGATTATCACAACATAGCTGAAATTATGGTTACATAACTAAATTTTTCTGTGTCCATACAACAGTAGCATATCCAGGATTTTGAGAATATAGATGCTGCTCAAGGCTTATTCGGGGCATGTGTCTCCTGTCCTTTTTCGAAGACTGTTATTCAATTACTTTAGAACTATTTTAGTTAATTAATCTTACTTAATTGAATTCATGCAATATCGGTATGCGTTATTATCAGAGGTGTAATCGTAAATTAAAAAGTGCCAGGGCGCTAACCGGCGCTCGAAGTTTGAATCACCACCGTCTATGAAGTCTTGTCAGTGGCGTAGCGTGGGTGTCAGCCGCCCGGGGCGGAGAAAATTTCGCCGCCTCATTATTTATGTATCTCAATTTAAAAAAACTAAAATTCAATTTCGTCACTGAATAAGTAATTAAAAATTCCGTGCTCATTTCAATCGGTCCGAATCGTAGGTGCGACAAAAATATGAAATTAAATGGTTCAAATTTTTACAAAATATTGTTATTATTTATTGTGAAATATTGTCGCCCCCCGAAAGTGCCGCCCCCACTACGCTACGCCACTGAGTCTTGTATATGGGCAAAGCGCTACTTTGTGGCGTAATATCTGAAAAACCGCCCAATGCACCAAAAATGATCTATATATTCGTAATCAGTTTGACCTAGATGTTCACAAAATACAAAGGCTTCACCCTGCTTACAAAAAACTATTAGGACGGCGCTCTACTATGACTATAGCTTCGGTTTTTAAATTTACTTTTATTTTAAGATAACAAACTGACTGTTTTGGTATTAAGAGGATGCTGTACAGTAGTGTAACAAACGTTCGTGCCACTTTGGATATTCTTGAGTACCCCCACGAGAAACACAACATAACATACATAAAACATACTCGGAAAATGTTTGAAAATAACATATAGGTTTAAGGAAATACTGTAAAAATTAGGAGGCTGTTATCAATGTTATTGGTTGAGCAAAAATAAGCCCGCCCTAGCTACGCCATTGGTGCCGAAGCACCATAAGCTAGTGCTGTGCGATGCATCGATGTGACATCGATACATCGATGTTTTTGTTCGTCGATGCATCGACCTTCCGATGTTTTTGAAACATCGATCCTGAATCGATGTTAGCAATATGTGAATTTCGATTCATTGATGCATGCAGTTCATTCATTGTTTTTAATGTTACCACCTGTTCGGTTTTCACCCGGACAGTCCGGAATTTCGTAGAAATTGTGAAATTGCGATGAAACAAAGTTCTCGCAAATATGTTTACAAATTTACACTATTTTAACAGTGAATAAACTCACACTCATTGAAACTCATCTGCAACTCTGCCATGTTAGTCTGTTTACGCCGAATTGTGGCGCGCAACCTGTCGACTTTGAGGCCGGATGGCCAACGGTCAAGGTGGCAGCCTACCGCTCTGGGGAACCCGGGATCGAATCCGGACGGGTCAAGGAATCCCCAGGAATTTTTCGGGGGGTGGTCTGTTCGGATATGTCAGACCCCGTCCCTCACCACCCGGTCGCACCATTGTGGGCCTGGCCGAACCCATAATGGCACTAAGAGGGCCTTTTATAGCAGTAAAAAATAACCATGTCGACTTTTTTTTTGCATGTACGATCATACACGTATCAAATACAGCTAACTTATCTGTACCTGTTCTTTCTTAATTTAGGTTACTTACGTTATTCCTACGCAAGTCCCTAGTCCCTAACTGTAACTGATTTAGAACCGGCATGCACGTTATTCTTCGCATTGGGTGCGTTTACTTTTAGCTCCGATCTCGCCCGTAGCGCGCTCAGCCTGTATACTTTTTGTTAGCTACCAATGAGCAAGGCGTTTACTTTTCGCACCCATGACGTCATTGCTAGTATGACGTCAGGCTGAGCTAGGTGTCAGCTCGGCGAGCTTGGAAGCTAGCAAAAATTGTAAAATGACATTGCGCATGCGTCAGGAACTTCTGTTCGAACATACCCGGTTTTGTTTTTTTTTTTTTAATTGTTTGAGTTTATCTTAATTGAACATCGATGTTCCAATGGGCATTGATCAAACATCGATGTGAAATCTGACATCGAAATTTAGCATCGATGCTTAGGCAAACATCGATGTTTGACATCGATGTTAAAATTACAGACATCGCACAGCACTGCCATAAGCACTCCCCGAATATGTCCGTGTCATGCGTACCGCGATCTCTGCAAATTTAGCGTACTTATGGTTGGAGAGTAAGAGACAATACAGCGATAATCTCGCCCACATATCAGAACAAGATAGTTGATTATTTTTAACCAGGTGGCGCTCGTGAATTCGCCATAATTCAAACTCGAGTGGTAAGATGGCTGCTGCCGCGAACGCTACTGCTGTTATTCTGGATCAAGTAGAAGAGGATGCTTCTGAATTACAGTTTCCGAAAGGTAAATAACACCACGAAGTAATTTCGGACTTTTACCTTTGGTCAATGTTCAGATGCGTGCCACATCATGGCGGCACTTCCGTTTTTAGCCTCAAAACCGTACGCCTGTCGAGACGACGTGTCACGTGACGACGCGAGCGAAGGGCGCGCCGTGTCGCGTGACGACGCGAGCGCCTGAGCCTGCGCGTGTTCTGAGTGCGGTTTTGCGCCTGCGCGACGTGTCATGTGACGGCGCAAGCGCCTGCACGTGTTCTGAGTGTGGCTTTTTGAAATTTTCCACCGGTTGGTGTTTGCGTTTTCTGTTTTTTTCCCTTTTCCCCAGAGATGGAGACTTTACACATTGAGACTTCCACGGATTTATTTCGCCTTTTGAATTATGAATATCCCGACTTGGGTATGAACGTTATGATTCCTTCCGATATAAAATTTGCGATTAGGATTGGTTTGCAACCGGTAGAGGCGAAGTGTAACAAGTGCGACAGCGGCGTCCGTAAAATAACTTTTAGAAAAGACACTGGTTCGGTTTATTTCCGATGTTCCAAGTGCAAGGAAAAAAGTTCGGCGTTCGAAGGTACTTTCAAGGGAAAACGTGGCAAGGTGTCATGGCGGACAATCGTCAGTTTCCTCTGGCATCTGATTTGCATAGATGGCTCGTTGAATTCGGCGTGTTCGGCCGTCTCGGTGAGTCGCACTACCGGCATCGACTGGGCTAATTTCGTTCGGCACGCGATGATGATCGCTCTTTTTAATATGACAAGTTTGGAAATTGGCGGTCCCGGAAAGACCGTAGAAATAGACGAGACGGTCGTAAGCAAGCGTAAATACGAAAGAGGAAGAAAGCTGAAAGGGACAAAGTGGGTGGTCGGCGGAATTTGCAGAGAAGACAAGAACTGTTTTTTGTGTTTTGTAAACGATCGCTCCGAAGCCAGTCTGAATTGGATCGTCAGCACTTTCGTACGGTCCGGATCTACGATTCATACCGACCAATGGAAGGGATACAGCAACATCGGAGAATTAGACGGAATAGATATAAAACACGCGACAGTAAATCATTCGAAAAACTTTGTGAATCCGTTGGACGGCGTGCATACGCAAAACATCGAAAGGCTGTGGGGGATTTTGAAGAACAAAAAATCTGCCCCTACACTATACCGAGGAACTTCGAGATTCGTATCTGTACGCTTTTATGTACAAAAAGCATATGAAATGGGAAAGTCTCAAGCCGGGTGATCGTTTCAGAATTTTCTGCGAACATTTAAGAAAAATGTATCCAGGAGCGGGCCGCGAGCCCGAATGGAAGGAGCCAGAAACCGTTCCGGCAGCCCCGGAAGCGATGCCGAAGAAGCAACCAAGCGGCGAGACGAGCAACAGCAGAAAGCGCGCCAGAGTCGGCGAATGACTGCGGACAAAGGTGAGTAAAAAAAAACCTTTTTTTTTTTTGTTATTTTGGTTAAAGTCCAGATACTTACTGTCATGGCGGCTCATCGCCGATTCCAGCAAAGAGAAGCAAACAGTGCGGACGCACGTTCTAACCTAACCTAAACCTATTCTAATAAATTATCACAATTAGTACCGATTAAATTATTAGAATAGGTTAGGTTAGGTCAGAACGTGCGTCCCCACTGTTTGCTTTTGTTTGGTGGAATCAGCGCCGGCGCCATGACAGCCGCCGGCGCTGCCGCGGCGCAACAGCCGCCGACGCCCTTCGCTCGCGTCGTCACGTGACACGTCGTCTCGACAGGCGTACGGTTTTGAGGCTAAAAACGGAAGTGCCGCCATGATGTGGCACGCATCTGAACATTGACC